GGGGAGGTGTCACGTGGTCAGTACCTTCAGGGAGGTCACTGGGAGGGTGGGTGGTGGGTGGGAGGCAGAGAGCACCTCTTGTAGAACATACCCGTAGTTATAATGCTGTAAGTGAAACCCACAGTTACGATAGAAATACATATGTAATAATAATAGTAGTAATGATAATGATAATAATAATAGAACAACTGCCACTACTATTACTAGTAATAATAATTTATCCGTCAACCTCTGAAGATGACCAGGGCTTCTGCAGAAGATGTAGTGAAGGATGCAGAGGTGGATGGGATGGTTGTAAAGGTCAATATGGTGGTGGTGGTCGTGGTTGTAAAGGTGAATGTGGAGGTGGTCGTAACGGTGGAGGTGGTGAAGGTTGTAGTGGTGAGGGTCGTATGAACGTGGTGACGGTGCTGCAGAAGATGTAATGGAGGATGCAGAGGTGGTTGTGGTCGTAACGGTGGACGTGGTGAAGGTAGTGGTGGTAGTGATGGTTGTAGAGCCAAATGTGGTGCAGGTAGTGGTGGTGATGGTTATAACGGTGAACTTGGTGAAGGGGGTGGTGGTAGTGATGGTAGTAGAGCCAAATGTGGTGCAGGTAGTGGTGGTGATGGTTATAACGGTGAACTTGGTGAAGGTGGTGGTGGCGATGGTCGTAGCTGTGGACGTGGTGATAATAGTAGTGATGATGATTGTAGAGCTGAACTTGATGAAGGTTCTGGTGGTGATGGTTGTGACGGTGGACGTAGTGAAGGTGGTGGCGGGTGTTCAGTTTTGCTCCTTTGTTCGTTGGCTCTACCTGCATACCCATAGACTTGAGGTATACTTCTTACTTGATCTTGTGTTGTCTCAAATGTTCATTTGAAAAGTTGTACTTTGAATCTGTATTCCTTTTCCGTTAGAAAAAAACAATGCAAATGATTCAAACGTTTCATGGTGAACGTGGCTTAAGGATGAATTGTATTCACATTATTGTTTGTTGCTGTGGTTCTCTTTTTCTCTCTCTGTCTCTCTCTCCTCTTTTTCTCTTCCTATTTATTTTTTATTTTTTCGTTTCACTTGTTCTGTCTTTCTCTCTTTATTTCGTGTCTCCCTCCCATTCTCTCTCTTTTGTTTTGCTTATCCTTTTCTTGCTATTCTTTTATTATTATTGTTTTGGTTGTCTGAAGGCTTTTTCGGATCGTTTTTATTTCCTTTTCTGCATATCCATGTCACTCGATAGTTCTTTCTTTGTGTTCATTTTCAGAATTTCGTGTCCCCCTTCTTTCAGATATGCCCTACTCGTTTGTTCCGCCGTTTGTCAGGGGGTAAACCGACGTGAATGATCCGTGCTTCCTTGTTTTTGTTTTGTCATACCCTCTTTTTGTAACGCTTGTAAATTACTGTCATTATTTCCATGCGTGTCTCTTACTCATATTCAATTTCCTACAGTCCAGGTAATCAATACAGATTGCCTTCTCGTTTGTCGATCTCTCCCCCCCCCCCCCCCCCCCTCAAAAAAGTAATCCGTTTTCTTTATCTCTAACATTCTCCCCCTATATCTCTCCCCCTTTCTCCTCCTCTTTTCAAATACAGCTATTTTGTTTTCTTCTTTTTTTTCCAATGTCTTTTCTTCTCCTCCTGCCTGCTGTTTACTTTTGTTCCGATTAGTCTGTTGTTTTGCGTGGTGGTTAGATGTCATTTTACCCGTGGCCTTTTTATAATAAATGTGTCAATTTTGTTGCATATTGATGACAGGGTGGTTACAGGGTGTCGCAGGCATGTCCTACTTCTTTCCTTTCGCTCTCTTGTCTCTGTCTGTCTATCTTGCTTTTGTCTGTGAATTGCACGGCTGTTCTTGTTTCAATGTGCTTTTGTGTGACTCAAACAAACTTGTTAATGTTTCCCATCCCTCTATTCACCGTTTACGGCTGGTTGGAGCTGCCAATGGACGCTCTGCGCTAATTGACCATCATTGTGTCTTTTCACTCAATCCTGAACGCTGCCCCCCTCCCCCTCTTTCTCTCTC